TTTGGCGAGAATTGAACGACTAGCCAAAACTGCACTAAACGGCAAGAATTTTATCAAGGCAGTAAATGAGCATGCCATAGGATTAATAAACTATTATAGGGGGGTGCTCAAATTGGAACCAGAGGACTTCCAAGCAGTTGACCATGATATCAGACAGTTAGTTACTAATTAATTAAGGAATTCACATCCAACCTGCATGTTTGGAGAGACTGTACCTGCCAAGGGACGAGCTAAAACGTGGGCTTCACTGCGTTGAATAAAGGAGTGAGTTTATGCTTCTGCAACTTCATAACGTATTGTAGAAAGTGCGCCCATATCTACCAAGAGGGTGGTAATTTTGAAGGAGGAAAAGACTCACAACACGTACTTGGCAGTTATTGTGCCCTACCTTCAGACTAAATACAACCTTGTAGATTATCCAACCGTCGAAAACGTATTAGCAGCTCAGAAAGCACTCCATTATAGCGAAATAGAAAAGAAAACTCGTCATGCAAAGCCATGCAAAATGCATCAAGATGAGCTAGCCTCAATGTCAAATTGATCAGTGTGGCTACGATTTGGAAACATGACCCCTCAAGATGAACACGATCTATTACCTCCAAGACAGAAATATGTTTGGAACTGAAAAAAAATATGTGCCCACATTGTAGGGGACGTGTGAAGACGGTAGACCTTCTGGCGACGCAGTGCGATAAAATGTTATATCATGACTATACTAGAAGACACAATGAGGTCCTACGATGCATCCACTTGGGATTTTGCAAGAAGTATGGTCTGAAAGCATTGCTTCCCATGTAAAGCCATTCTGTTCAGGAGGTCGTTGCGAATGAGACCGTTGAAATCAGAGTCGATACGCGAAGTAAGAACTGCAATTAGAATAAGAGCAGATCGACCGGGTATTATAATACACGATAAGAAGCGACGTGAAGTAATCCTGATAAAGGTTAGCATCACTTGTCAGGACAGGATGATAGCAATCGAGACCGAGAAGAAACGAAAGTACGATTTACTAGCTAATAAATCTGTGGCACAGATGAAATGCAGGATGAAAATAATTTCGTATGTGATGACTTGGGATCGTGGTGTGACAAACTATGTGAAGAAAACCAGTGTATCTGATCACGTTGAGGCATATATCCAATTGACAGTACTCAAGGAAGCGCGCTCAAAGGCATCTCATTCGATCAGCGCCGTAGATTCGATGAGGACGAAGCAGCGGAGATCAGCACAACAAAGTTGAGCGCGGGGCGAGTGCACCGAAATTGGCAGAATACGATCCAAAGCCAGAATCAATAATGAAGAAAAGAAGAATAACGCTGGTGTGATATTGAGTTGTTGATTGATATATAATATATTCATTTTTCAATTGAAGAAAAAAAAATTGTTTTAGATACGTATAATGCATCAAAATTCGACACGGATTCATGTAAGAGCTGATGAAGCATTTCATGTTGGCGAAGATGCCCGTTGCGTTAAACAACTTATAAGTACGAATTTGTCAACTAATAATCTCATAATATATTATATTGCTAAGTGAGAATTTTTACTTCTTTAATAATTTCAATCAAAATTTGACTATTATTTGATTAAATTATTATCAAAAATCAAAACATGAAAATTTAAAAATGAGAGGAAAATACTCTGGTTGCTTGCTGATTAAACCACATTTATACTTTCTAAAGTATGTGTGCTTTCATGGAACGATGTATTCTTGTGTGTTTTATTGAGATCAGTAAAAATTTTTGACAAAATCCATGTATGGAAATGGATATCTGTTGGATTCTATGCTTTTAAAAGTTATATTTTTCATTTAGTTGTATAACTTTAATATTAACATTGAGGTATTTTTTTATTCATCTGCAGATTGTTTTAAAGTATTGCAGAGTTGCTCGAGATAAGTTGAAATTCATCATCATGGAATGATGTGCTGAGCGAAACGAACGGTGCACTACCGCAGCAATTCTGCATGGATGAACTGGCTGTCCCTATAATTTGGAGTTAAGCTAAGTATGTCACCAAGTTGGAATATTTCTCAGTGATATCTCCCAGTGATACTCTAAGCTTATTTTACAACCATTCCTTCAATTTAGCGAAATTGACGTACATTCTTCCCGGATGATTTTACTAACTTTAGTCAGTACTATGTAATAAATTTATCCATAATTCTTTTATAAATAACAAATATCATCTCATGAAATTTTATTTCTATTTATTTAAGAGTTGATAATTGCTATTTGCAGATTGTTAAATATTTACAATAATTTGAATGCAAATGTAATGAGATTTCTTCAGATTTTTTCTAAAATGATGTTTGCAAGTGCATTCAAAGGCGCAAATGGCCATATTAAAAGACATCTTTCAGCAGTCTTACGTGAAGCTTCATGAAACAAATGAAGCAGTAAAAAATGATCAATTTGATGTTTTGAAAGAAATTTAAGAAAGTAAAAAACCAGAGATTCATAAATTGCAATCAGTGCTGCTATTATCAATTTTGGCTCGAAACTTGTTTCATTTGACAAATAATCGCTTAAAAGTAACAAAAAGTTGAACTGATTCCCTTGGCTATATAATTTTGATTTGTCCAGCTTATCCAGATAGATTAGCTTCAATGTTCCTATGGGATTAATATTTCTCTCCCCATTACAAGTTAGCAATTGGAATTAAAATATAAATGAGTAAAAGGAGTAAAATTTAAAAAATATAAATGAGTGTTGTAAGAAAGACAAAATTTATTTTATTAAAACATTGTAATTAGAAATATTTATTTAAAATAAACGCAAACTTTTTATACGGTTTACATGACAATATTTCGGGAATCATATCAACTGGTTAGCAACGATACTGTCATTATTTATTATTTTGTGGAATTCTGTCTGTTTCTATTCCATCATTAATTGTTAATTTGATCTATTCAAATAATATGAGATTGAATAAAAAGGATATTATAAAGAAGCAAAATTAAGGAATTTAATTTGATAAGGAGCATTTTAATATGGAATTTAAATAGTTTCATTTTAAATTCAGCATTATAAATACACTTTGTAATGCATTTACGAACAAAAACTAGATAAGCATTAAAAATGTTACACGTTTGATTTATTTGCTTTAACTTCATTTCAAGTTTTACTTCACTGCACAAATGACGTCAATTATGAATTAGAAGCAAATCCAGCAAAAAGTTTTACCAATATATTTAAGAAAGTGTAAATGGATCTCAACTTCATGAATTGTTCATTTCCCGGAAGTGAAATTTACGATGAGATGAATATCAGTATGCTTGCATTTAGATATATCTCTGTGATAATCTCAATACACATTAGCATAGTCATAATGCTGTGTAAGCATAAATAATGTTACTTAAAAACACGCAATTAGTAGAAAAATATCAGTTCAGAAAATTACCAAATAAATAAATTTATTCTCGTTGAAAGGAAATTTAAAAAATTTGCTTTGGTTGAAGAAACTTTAAAAGCAATAAAGTGTATTCTGTCTTTGACTTTCAGAAAGATATCTGATTTTATGCAAAAAATGTTCAGAATTTCCGTTGGAATTACGTGCACTGCAGAAAGCTTTCTTAAGAAATTATTAAGCAAAACAAATAAGGACGTTGTGAAAGAAAAGATTAAAAGTTTTCATTTTTTGAACTTTAACTTGTTAATCCTTAAAATCAATTCTGTATGCTTTGTATTCGCAGATGACAAGTCTTTATCTGCAAGAAAAAACAAATGCCATCAAATATCTCAAAATAATCCATGCAAATATTAGTTTACAAAATTATCCTTCTCATTCAGTAATTTAGATTGACTTTTCGAAATAATCCCTTTATTCTTAATTGAGCTATCTAAGCTTATTACTTACAGATTGGTAAATTACTTCAGCCATATTTTTATCA